CCACCAACCCAAACAGCTCCCCAACCCAACACGCTGAAACCACCATGCTTCACAGTTGGCTGCAATCTGTTGAGCCAAAACTCTTGGTGAGGTATTCTACAGACCCATATCCTTCCACTGTCCGAAAATTGAGCGAATCTTGATTCGTCTGAAAACAATACGGTCTTCCAAAAGTCCAGTCATCATATCACTTGCTCACTTCTTTCGTCTGACTATGTTGGCAGGTCTTAATAAGGCCTTCCGTCTAGCTGCTCTGCAATGATAAGCCAATCTGTGGAGAATCCGTTGAACATATTTCGGGCTCATTCCATCAACTTTGGCCACTTCTGCAGTCGTTAATCTGGGATCCATTTTGATGCTTTTCTTGACAGCCCTTTTTGTCCTCTCTGATGGACCCGGACGCTGCTCAGTTGTTTCCTGCCGTGTTTCCTGAACTGCACGATGATTCTGTTGACTGTCGAAAGCGGGATTCCCAAATTCTGCGAAATTTGCCGCTGACTTATTCCACCATCTGCTTGACCAACTATCCTTCGTCTAACAAAATCTGACAATTCAAGAGAACCTCGAGTTTAGTCATGTTGAAGCACAAGATAATTAGTGTGCGGGCCATTTTCATTTATATAGTACTCTGTGAACACAAATTAGTTAGCATAAATCGGTTAAATGACGAAAAATTAGGTGTCTATTTACTTGTGACCACTCAGTGTACTTTCTACCGGTTTACCCCTGACGTTGGATGGTGTCATTGGCGATGGTGACACTGTCCAACTTGATTGTATTTTTATTTTTTCCGAGCCATTGCCCTTTTTTAATTCTATTTAAATCTTTTATCTGAATTTTGGAAATTTCGATTTGTTTTTACATTTTTATAACGAATCTTACTTTCACTGTTTTTACCGATTGTTTGGCACAGATAGCCTAAGTGAGTGTGAAGAAAAGTGCCTCATCTACACTATCTGGACCCTTTCTCCATTTGGCTTGAATGAAAAATGTTAGTTTCTGCAATAATTCTTTATTCTAATGCATTTTTTTATCCATATTCTACCTAGTTAATTGATTTTCATTTATAATATACACTATTTATTTATACTTGATGATTTTATCTAAATTTTATGCATTTTTAAATTAGGCTTTATCTTTCCACTTTTAACGTATTCTTTTTATTTTCCTACAACAGTGCTTTAGGCTATCACAGCATTCTTACCATGTTACACGTAAGGTAAACGTGTACATTATTGTTACTGGTTAAATGTTAATTTAATATACTTCTGTTAGCGACTGTATAATGAAGAGTTTACTCGAAACTTTGTTGGATAAATCGCTATTCAGATTAACATCTTTTTAGTGTTACTTTTTTTCAAACTATGTTCCAGTTAATACAATCACACGTAATATATACTTATTGTTTATCAACAGGCGGTAGCACTGCCTACATAGGGATTACTCGGATTGTTCATCGAAATGGTATTTTAAATATCTTCTCAATAGGTCATCAGATCTTTATAATAGTATACAATGTTTCCTTTTATAACAATATCTATGTAATGATAGTCACAAGTTATGGGCATTTCTATAACTGTCATAGCAAAAAGTTTGAATTTTTTGTTCTTCTGCTTTTTTATTACATAACTCAAAAACCAAAACAATGGTCAACCAATTTCACTGAAGTGACAGTTTCAAACGGAGTATCCGCTTTTATAAGTATTATTAATAACTAGTAGTAATTGTAAAAAAAACAAAAACAATCATAATTCTATGTGAACGATGTTTTCATTACTCTTGGAAGGTAGCTTGCTTTCTTACAGAAATTTGGTGTTCCTTTAAAAAGCTGAAGTATAGGGTGAAACAGGAATTAACAGCCAATAATAGATAAGCAATAAATATTACAGTTGGAACCTGGTTGTATTTAGAACTTGGTTATAAATACAACCTTCCTATGTCTACTGAAACACTACATTAAAAAAACCAAGCAAACAAGTAAAGAAAAACCTTTCAGAAACAGAATTTAATGTAGTGATGGCTAATATCAATCCTTCAATAACAATGCAAACAAGATAGTAGGGATGTCACTTGCATCATCTCTACATTATAGTACAGGCAAGAATTAAAACATGTCAATATGTACATAACTATTGAGTTACAATCGAGTTTAATTTATTCTATTTTTTCTGTTAACATTCTACTTGGCCCGGCATGGCCAGGTGGTTAGGGCGCTCGATTCGCAGTCTGCGGGTCGCGGGTTCGAAATCCCCGTCACACCAAACATGCTCGCCCTTTCAGCCGTGGGGGCGTTATAATGTGACGGTCAATCCCACTTTTCGTTGGTAAAAGAGTAGCCCAAGAGTTGGCGGTGGGTGGTCTTACACCGCAAATTTAGGGACGGCTAGCGCAGATAGCCCTCGTGTAGCTTTGCGCGAAATTAAAAAAACAAACAAACATTCTACTACACTGTGTGCCTGTGCTATTATGTAGTGATGATGCAAATGCCATCCCTACTATCTTCTTTGCATTGTTTTTGAATAATTGATATTAACCATCCCCACATTTACTTCCTTTTTTGAAAAGTTTTTTCTTTACTTATAAATGTAATTATTATTTATCAATGTTGTTTTTTGCACGATGTTGTTACTATTACAGGACTCTAAAACGTTACCCTCACTCAAGTTTCATTAGTAACGCCAGTTGTTCTTTGTAGATAGTTATAGATAGAAATAATTATTTTGTGAGCAGTTGTATGAGTAGGTCTGTTAGTTAAGGCTGAATAATTGTATGAACTTTTTATTGAAATTCTCTGTAGTATGTCGGCGCCAAAACCTACGAACCTGTAATGGTTAGTGTCTATTACGAAGCATTATGTCCAGATAGTATTGACTTTGTCTTGGAACAGCTGTGGCCAACGTACAAAAAGATTCCAAAGATCATCCAGTTAGATCTTGTTCCGCATGGAAAGGCGCGGGTAAGTAAGGTGAAACGTCACTGCATTACAATTATTTAGTTAGGCTCATTAATGACGACCAGTTTATTTTATCTTTAGTCTGTTATGTTTAATTTGAAATACCATAAAGATATAGAAGATTTAAATCTTTCTTGAAACACGAGTTGCATATAAAATTCATGTCGTGCCTCTACTATACTTCTGATAATTTTCCCGGGAATGCCAGATGCTTAAAAATTTTAATCTAATTCTTGATCAATCTATCAATTAAATAAATATGTAAATACATAAAATGCATTGTAAAAGTTATTAAACTGTTAATTAGTTGCAAGTAATTAGTATGTTATCGTAGCACAATAGAGCTGTAAAAAAACATGTTGATGAAATATTACTCTTGTTTATATAAATATTGAAATTACCAAAAATATTGGAATTATACAGGAAACTGTTTATATAAAAGAACATGACAGTGCATACAATATTCATACATTTATAAAACAACGTGTCTGGCATGGCTTGGTGGTTAGGGTGCTCTACTAGCAATCTGAGTCGCAAAATCGAATATCGTTGTGAGTTGTAATATGGCAGTCAATCCCATTATTCGTTGATATATATATACACCTGCTGCTTTCCCTGTAGTCTATCACTTCAAACATTAGGAACGGCTAGCGCGAAATGAAATTCAACAAACAACGGATAAAACAAGGTACATATTCTATTAAAGTGAACCATGAATAATAAGTTTCTTCACCTATTTGTACAATCGGAAAAATATTTGTTTTATGGTATTCTCCATGCACGGATTTCCTATTAAAGTAAACTGGTAGGTTCCGCTGAAGATGAGGTTCACCGAACATTACACGATGGAGTACGAGTCTATCATTGTGAACTCTACTGACTTTGTCAACACACAAAATGTACGAAACAATAAAATCTATTAACGACAACACAGGTCAGGGATACTGATTACAAAACAAGAGCAAGTATTTGTAGTAAGTGGTGGAAATGGAAAGAGTTCTAGAGGGAATGTGAAAAGAAACCTTTATCGATTCTTTCTCACCTTCAGTGTGAGCCCCCCCCCCCCTCCCCCACCTGTAATTTAAAATATATAAAAAAAAAGCTAAGCTATAAAAATAAAACCTCACAATGTTAATGCAAAACCAAACTCTTATGTAAATGTAAAAAATTGCTTAACAGGTCTTTAGCAATCTAACAAAAGCTTTATCATATCTAAATCCCAATAAAGGCTACAATCCTGCATGAAAATCTCTCAACCAAATTTATTCCTAACAACGATATGATAGGATGCATTGTTGGCAGTTATTTTGGTTTAATCACAGGTCTGAAAGATAACCAGAGACGCTAAGAAACTGTTAGTTTCTCTTCACCTCTTTCACGAAATTTAGTTAGTGAGGGTGAAAGGTTTTGTACTACAGAGAAGAGCCTGGCTTTAAATACCAAAATGGAATAACATAAACAAAGCCAGGCTGCTCACGTCTCTCACCTTGTCCACGTGACTTCGAACCACCCATGTTCAAACACGGACGGAGAAGCCCATGGCTATCGTACATTCGTCAAGAGAAAGATATCTGTCTATTTCGGGACATAAGTGAAGTCAGTTATCTTTCCTGCAAGAAAACCTGCTTAATGACCAATTAGTCTTGTCTAGTTTTGTATGCAGTTAAAGCAAGAAGTCATGTTGCTTACTTGAGCGACTCTCTGTCCAAACAGAATTAAAAGCAAAACAAATTTCGACCAATTTACATATTAACTAAGGAGGTAGCAAACATATGGTACCATCCTGTATCACAGTTTCATATCTTTGAATTGAAAATAGTGAAGATAACTAATATTAATTTCAGACGAAGAAAAAAAATATTTCTGATGAATAATAGATCGGGAATAGATAGAATTTATAAAAGGAACAAGAACAACAAAAAAAGTGGGGTAAAATGATACAGGGCAACACTAAGTGCTTAAATCTAGTGTTTTACTATTAACAGACGATTATGGGGAAGAAGTTGCTACATATACAAGCCAAACAGGCAAATAAGATAATGAAAATATTGTCGTATGCCTAATACCAGTGACAGGCCTGATCTTTACAGTAATGCAGCTTGTGTCTGTTTGTGACGAAAGTTTTTCAAACTTGACTAACACTGATAAACATAACTTTCAAGGTTCTTGGGTACGCCTAGAAAGACTCTAAAACCGTTAACCTTACTCGTTGCCCCATTTTTACGAGTTTGACAACCATTTCAACCCCTCCCCGTTATTGCCTTAGCGCCTATTTCACGAATTCTGATCGCCATGAAACTTTCAAATGTCCAGGACATCAACAAGTGCAAATTAGATAATATACTGAAAACAGTAGTATAAAGAAGCCATCCAATAGGGGCAAGTTTCTAGAAAATTTTATGCTAGTATACCCTATTAAGCTGACTTGGGCCAGGTTTCAGTAATCTGATATTAACAAACGTTTGTCGGTCATGAGGTTCGGGATCAAAGATGAACGGTCTTGAGTTAGCTTGTTATGTTATCGTAAATATGACAGCTAGTATTGACTTACACGGTGAACAAAGGGTTGTTATTTGAACTGAACATAATCCCTAGTTCTGCTGTTATTGCGACCGTTGGTCACATTCCTTGACTGATACTTCATCAATAATTACGGGTGTGTTTGAATAATAATACCTACAGCTAACTCTGCTGTTAACCTACATCTTCGTCGTCTGTTATCTGGCTAACTAGAGCTGCAGTGTTTACAATAGCTAAATCAAGTAATTTACAAGACGCCATCTTCTATGTTCACATAGAAACCATCGCCTTTTGTGTAGTGTTACATTGTTAGGTTATGCACATGCATGCTTTCCTGCTACGCCCTTGAAGCCAATGATATAAATGTCATGCGTAGCGCGGGGACCTTTGGTAATATAAAGTGACAAAAGTGAAGAGAGACAAGATTAAAAAAAAAAAAGGTTAAAATATTTAAAAAATTGAAATAATTATAGGAGAGTAATCATTTATAAATGTGTCTTATAGTCTTACTATTCACACCATTTGTACGAAAAAGATGATGCATCATCATCTTCAATTCCTTTAACAATCTTAAACATTTCAATCAGATCTATTATAAATATTTTTTTTTTCTTCAAGAGAAAATAATTTACAGATCTTAACCCATCCTTATGACAATCTTCCCATCTAATATATCATTCTAGTTGCCCTTCTCTGAACTTCTTTTTTTTCCAACAATCAATATCCTTCCTAAGGTAAGGAGCCGAAGACTGAACACTATCAAATGGCCTAGCCAATGACTTGTACAACAAAATTATAACATCTTTAAGACTTTCTTTCAATTCTTGTGTAGATACAACCTAAAATCGTATTTTCCTTGCCGCTAGCAACAGCATATTGCTTGGATGGCCCAAGAGGCTGATTATTGTTTGTTTGTAGTTAAGCACAAAGCTACACAAAGGGCTATCTGTGCTCTGCCCACCACGGGTATCGAAACCCGGTTTCTAGCGTCGTAAGTCCGCTGACATACCGCTGTGGGGCGAGGCTGATTAACCAGAACACTAAAATCTTTTTCTTACATAATACTCTTAAGATTATTCCAACAAAAAAATATACTCATACTTTAAATTGTGATATTCCACATGCATCACCTTGCATTTATTATAATTAAAAGCCATCTGCCATTTATTCGCCCAACATACCAATTAATTTAAACTTTTTTGTAAGGCATCATCATCATCCTCACAGCCAACAGCACCCAAAACTTTATCATCAGCAAATTTAAATAATTTAAGAATTCCTTCATTTATGCCATTGACGTAAATCTAAGAACAAAAGTCACGACACTGACTCCTGAAGCACCCCACTTGTAAAATTAATTTAATTTGACTGAACTCCATTTATAACAACCCTCTGCTTTCTTCAATCGAACCAGTTTTCTATCCATTGAGCAAATCTATCCCCCACATCTACAGGGAACGTCCTTAAGCCTTTTATGTGGCACTTTGTCAAATGCTTTCTAAAAATCCAGATACACCAAATCCACACCTGTGCTCTCATCTACATAAGCAGTAACATCCTCAAAGAATATCAAAATATTAGTAAAGCAAGATTTTTTTTTTTTTTTCCCCTAGTGAAACCATATTGACTATGAAACGAAATTTTAAAATTTATTAAAAGAGACTGAAAAGTATCTTTTGTCATATTTTGAAAAACTTATCCCATCACTATTGTAAGATTAAGGCCTATAAATATTGGGACAATTTTTATCGCCTCCCTTGAAAAGAGAAGTAGCATAACGCAACTTCCAATTTTCTGGTGCCTGCCTTCTGTTCAAGGATTTAGAAAAACAAAATTAAGTAATTAGGTTAACTGTTGGAAAAAAAAAGAGTAAATAATATCAAGTAATAAAACAGAGGTGCGTGAGAAGGAACCTCCGCCCACCATAAGAATCAAAAACCAATTTTCAGCGTTATAAGTCCCCGGACTTACCGCTGAGCCCACCATTGGTGTCATTATTCCAACAATCCAGTTGCATGTATATGTATTTTTGACCTAGTTAATAAAGAAACTTCTCCCTTAATTGAAATGATAACACCAGTGTGTTTTAGTGTATATATGTTCTTGTATCCCTAGAAGCTCTACAATAAAAACTGTCATAACAACTTGTGTTTTCTTTGATCTAATAATAATTAATAAAGCAATAGATATTTGAAGTTAGACAAGAAAAGGTATTTCACTACACCCAGCTACTGTATTAAAGTCAGGCAACTGGTGATAATTAAAGGAAACTTTGCTACAACTACAATACCATGGCTTTACTAAATATCAAAAACGCAAGCTATACTATGCAAGTCGCAACTACTTGGCAGCGCCACCTTTGCGACAAGAATCATTGGGTAGCTGGAGTGACGTATTTTTATTATTCAATGATTTGTAGTAAATCCTACTTGTTTCCCACCTGTGTCTGTGTAAACTATACAAGTATTATACAGACAGTGTCGCACATAAAAGACAGACTAATAAAATTAGGTTAAATATTACTTTAATTGAGCAAATTAAAAATTTAATTTTGAAAAAAAAAGTACAGAAATAACGTCAGCATTGCAATTAGTCTCTTTAATTAGTGCTAGTTTCCTATTATTTGACATAAAAAAATTAGTAATTTCACCCGATTTCTGGTCATTTATTTACAATGAGTGTTCTATACAACATGCACAGGCTTGTCCTAATCTGGTGGTTAAAGTCCTTGACTCGCAATCTGCATATCGCGGATTCGAATCCTATCACCGAACATGCTTGGCCTTTCAGCCGTGAGAGCGTTATATTGTTTCGGTTAATCCCACTATTCTTTGGAAATAGTAATACAAGAGTTGCCGGTGGGTGATGTTGACTAGCTGCTTTATTTCTAGTCTGTCACTTCAAAATTATGGACGGCTTGCGTAGATAGCCGTCGAGTAGCTTTGCGCTGAATTTAACAAACAAATATACAAAACATAACATTATCCAATTAATATTGGTGTCTAATCGTAGAGAAATGTCATTCTACTCCTTTTAAAAGATAACGAACCGAAAAGTGCCCCCCCCCATTTTCCGCCAGTCAAGGTTTTTGCTGTAATTAAGAGAACTATTCTAGCTATAGTACTCAGTTTAAACGTAACACTCGTTGAATATCTATTATTTCAACTGTATTACCCACCAAGCTCTTATTCCACGCCACTAACTTTATAATCAATAACAATGCAGCAATTCTAATATCTGAGGTGTACTGTAGTTTGTAAATAGCTGTGAATTTTGGTGAGCAAATTATTTTAACCCCCACCCCTAGAAAAATTAAATTCTGAAACTGCCCTGTTAAATCGCACTTACATTCACTTTGCTTTTAAATTCCGACCAAATTGATTCAAAACTATGAAAGAGGCTTAACAAGGGATTTTTCACTACCGTACTGTACATTGTCGAAATCTGTTTAATATTCACCATTGTGTCAACACAACTTCACTTTTCCATAAAGAAAGTTTTATTGAAAACAAATACTCTGCTAGTATGCACATCACAATTTAGTGTTGTTTCAGAAAAATGAAATGACTATTCAGTAGTAAAATAAACTGAGATAACTGGTAGACAAATCAGACCTCTAGTGAAAATTGTTCCGCCTATATACAAACTGTTTTAAAGCAGGACTATAAAAAGAGTACTTTTTTGTATTGTTACAAGTTACGCGGTTTGGTGTTTTTAACATATGTAAAATATTAATATTTT